ACGTGTGCTCTTCCGATCTATTTTCACTTTTTTATATGTACCAAAGCAATTATATGATAATGCTTAAATGATATTTCAATAAGATAAACATAAAAAAGTAATGGATTACTTTTTAAATTTAATTTATTGAAGTGGCAGCATTAGGGACAATTATTTAAAATTTGCCTGTATTATTGCCTGCAGTATGTGAGTCTTGTTATGCGTAAATATAACCTATTCGCGCCAATTACTGACAACTTTGAATGAAAAAGACAAACAGTAAATAGAGATGCAATATTTGGTACGTGGGACAGTATTTAAAAATTGACTGGCAGTAATAGGTATAACAGCTTATATTTTATTTGTTTTATTAAATTTAAATAATTAATTGGTATTTCAGTTTGCTGCTTTTATCTTATGTATATTAAAGTTTTTACTTAAATAGTGATAAAAAATAATATCTGCTACGTATTTAAAAAGTTTTAAGTATAAACATATCAATGCTTAAAGTGGTAGTAATTGGGACAGTTATCCTAGCTCCGTAAAAGATCAGCAAAACGTTCTTTAAAGTCGACATAAACAGTAAGGACTAAGTTGTAAATGCTTTTGAAAAATTTTATTGTAATTTATCATTTTTTTATATTACACTCTCCTGTGGAGAATAGAGGATCTTTAATTTTGTTGTTGCATTAGCATAATCCAAGCCGGTAGCACGTTCAACATATTTACGGAAAATTTTTCACAGTACAATAAAATAGAAAAAAAATCGCGGCTCATTTTTTAATAAACGTTTTAAAAGACTTGCTTTAATTTTCAACTTCCGTATTTTTCGTAAAAATGACGAATGTACCGCTGGCTTAGGTTATGCTAATGCAACAGCAAAATTAAAAATCATCTATTCTACTCTCCATAGGAGAGTGTAATATCATTAAAAAAAAAAAATAAATTACAACAAAATTTTTCAAAAGCATTTACAATTTAGTCTTTACTTTTTATATCGACTTTAAAGACCGTTTTGACCTTTTACGGAGTTATACGGAAATAAAAATGCAACACACTTTGTTACGAATTTTGCTCCTCAACATGAATAAAAAATCAAACACAAATGCAGTTTACAGCATTTATAAGCATACATTTTTACTTTTAATTTGCGCACTCGTTGAGCATTTTGCGATTTTTTGTCACCAAGTTATTTAATGTTGAAGCATAAGAATTTTTATTTATTATTGAGTAACTTGGCGAAAAAAAATGCATAATACTCAACGAGTGCGCAAATTAAAGCTAAAGATTCACACTTTTGAAAACTGTAAACTGCATTTATGTGCGATTTTTAATTTGGATTATGAAATCTTGCAAAGTTTGGAAAAAATTTTGATATTTGACAGATCTTCTTTATGAACTTTGCGAAGTTCCATAGAGTAAAATAAAAATTGCATACAAATGCAATTTACAGCGTTCGAAAACGTGAATCTTGACTTTTAATTTGCGCACTCGATCAGTATTGTGCGATTTTTTTGACCGAATTATTTAATATAAAAGCAAAAATGGTCCTTTTTACTTCAATGTTGAATAACTTGGTGAAAAAAAATCGCACAATTCTGATCGAGTGCGCAAATTAAAGATAAAGATTCACGCTTTCGAACACTGTAAGTCAAAGTTGTATGCGATTTTTATTTCACTCCATGAAACTTTGCAAATTTAGTAAACAATTTTTAGATTTGATCTCCATTTGCATTTGTGCAGCTTTGTAAAGAAGTATGTCATTTAATAAATTATAGATTTCGAAAATAGAGGCCTTAAGCTGTACAATGCCTTTTTGATCATTTTGTTACAATCATTTTTGACGAAGTTCACTCTTTTATAATTTTCTTATTTTTAGCGATCAGAATAGGTGATCCTTTAATTTTTCACTGAGTACGTATTCCGATCGTCTATATATAACAATTAAATTGGAAGAAGGCCCATAGCAGGATCTTAATACTCCTAATATTTCTATTTGAATTTACATACATATTCTAGTTTCAACGAACTGCGTGTCGTTACTTTCAGATTCAAGAGAGCTCGATACAGAACAGTATTATCATAATTAAATTAATAATCAATTTAAGAAATACTAGAAGACGCTCACCGGATCTAATATACAAATGTTTATTAAAAACAAAATAAAGCAAAAAATAATTAAAATTTAGTAAATTCTTTGATTTATAATTAAATTTTAAAAAATTTGTTTTTATTAGATCTGCATTCTTATTAATTTCAATTAAACAAATAATTAAGTTACTTTTGTCCATTCGTTGATTGCTGACTGCATACGAAGTAATAATGCGTAAAAGGATTTGACTTCATTTTCAATGACTTTTATGAAAGCCGATCCTTGCATTGCTTGTATTTTAATTATATGTTCCTCGAGTATCATAAATATATCATCCAATTGTGTTAAAATTGGAACTTGAGTATCTTTGTATATTGTAGTGATAAAACATATGTCATCCCATTCACTTTTCATTTTTGCAAGCGATTGTTCATGCATAAATTCTTTTGTTGCACCGGTACTGATAATTTCATATCTGCAAATAAATAATTTTGTTTAATCACCAAAAGTTATCTAAAATTATCTAAAAGAAAAATATAGATTTTTACATTTAAGTGTAAAAAAGATAAACTTTGAAATAGCATTGTTTGAATTCTTAAATGACTGGAAATAATAATCATTTGCCTGCATGAGAATTTGAAACATTGCTAAAATAACTTACTATAAATAAAAAATACAAAACAGTTGAAAATACAAATCAGAACATAAAGAACAAATCAGAACAATTATTAACTTTTACTTTAAGTCGCTTTTAGATTCTCATATATTTTATTATGATTGTAATAAATCTTTGCATACTTATAGATTACATAAATAGATGTATTTAGAAAATATCAATTAGTGCTAAAAAACGGTTTGAAAAAGTAAAATCATCTCTTACATGTAAAATAGTTTTCTTTTTCATTACTCGTATATCTTAAAACCTATTAAAGATATCAAAAAAAATATTTTATAGTAAAATTATCTCTATTTATTTACGTTAATAACACTTAAAAAAATTTTTTTAAATAATTATTTTTAAAAATATTGTTAACGTAAATAAATAGAGATAATTTTAATAACTAATTTATTTTTAATAAATAATAATTTATAAAATATTTTTTCAATATTTTAAATAATGTTTAATATATAACGAAAAAAGTTATCGCTTTACTATAAAGAATGATTTTTAAAATCATTTTTCGACCGTAACTGATATTTTGTAAATTCATTTGTTTACATAACCTATGTATACAGGGTGTTCCGTAACACTTAATTAATATTTCAAGGCGTGAAAGAGAATGAAATTTTGAACTAAAAGTTCCTCTTTCAATTTTGGCTCAGACCATTATTTACAGAGTTATTAACGAATAAAGTTAATCAATTAGATCGCG